AGGTTTTGGTAGTGTTGGTTTTGGTTTTGGTAATTGAGTGACAACCTAGGTAAATAAAATTGAGGAGCTAAAAAATCCTTTGAAAAATGTTTATGAAAAGCTAACACATGTGCATAAGGTAGTGTTACACTTGGTAGTGTTGGCATATTTGCAAAGTGTTGGAAGAAAGAAGCAAGGAGGTGTTTTCTATAGGCGTCTGACCCCATGTGTAGATGGTCCGACACCATGCATAGACAGAGGAGCGTTAGAGCCTACGCGTAATGGTCTGACGCTTTGCGTAGGACCCATTTAGACCGGTCTGGACCTTTTCTGGACATGTTCTGTTGACCATCGGATCCTACGTGTAATGGTCTGAAGCTATGCTAGGACCTGGTACGACTGGTCTGGAGCTCTCTAGATGCTCTCTGTTGGGCGATGTACCGTACGCGTGGATGATCTGACGGGCGTCGGACCGTACGCATAGAGGGTGCATGCGATTTAGCTGTTGGACACCAACGTTCGCCTTCAAACAGCTAGTACACGTGGCGTGATCTAAGACCTTCGGACCCTAACGAAATGGTTTGACGCTACGTGTAGGACGGTCCGACGCTACACGTAGAATGAGTAGTTTTTGCCAAACGACTAGTTTAGCTCTTGGGGCTATAAAAGGAAGTAGTGGTCGGCCTTGGCGGTGCTTGGCACCCTTGGGACTTAGTGCCCATGCTTGGGGAAGGATCCTAAACAAAGTTCGATCAGCTACACCAAAGTGGTTACTCGGACTCACTATCCCAATGAACAGTCCTTAATTACTCCGCGAGTTACGTCACCTGAGATCCAACACCCACCGTGACCTTACCCCTCGCATGAGTAGAGATTTTTGATTGATCATCAAGATTATAATTCAAGTTAGGATTGGTTCTTAATCATGATTAGAGAAGGTAAGTTGTCACGCTTACAAAATTTTAGTACTTGATTAACCTGGTGTAACAATCCTACATGCGCGAGAATGAGTTCCATTCTCAAACTTGACTTCTATCGAAGCTAAGCAACTAAGCATTAAATGAATCCCAACCATTTGTTAGGTGAAGGCTAGGATCAACTAAGTGTATAGCTTTAAGTTAATGAAGCAATGTTAAGTCATTAATCATATTCACATGAAATGCAAACTCATAATGAAACAAATAGTAAGTATCCAAAATAGGGTTCCTAATAGTGGGGTGCCTACCTGGTCGTGCCGTTCGAATAATCAAAGCTGACGATGATGACTTATACACATTCCTCATGTCCGTAAAGAGTCCTGAGAGAGATGATAAATGGAATTGGAGATAATTGATAGGGAGATAGAGATAAAGATTGAGACTTTGATTTGGAACATGGGAAGAGGCATCCAAACTTGGCTCTACTATTGCACTATTTATTACCTAGTTAGTATTAGTATTGTTGACCTCTTGGGTAAGTTTCTAATCAACATGACATCCTCTGTCATCATGATGGACTCTCCCCTGTATGTGGCGGAGACTCCACTGGATTGGACTCAAGGGTTCAGGTTTGGTTCAGTTAGGGTCCAAGAAGAAGAATTAAAAGAAATCCAAGGGATGCATGGGTGATTGAGCTAGGTGAAGATCTCTTGAACTTACTCTACATATGATAGAACCACCACCAGCAAGAAATCTTCAATCTTGCACCAAAAACCACAAATTAGGTCTTTGGAGAAAAATCTAAAAAATGAGAGATACTTCTCTTGAGCTAACCGTAGATGAAGTTGAAGATGTTGAAGAAGTCCATGAGATGATGCTGGTGCTTCTCTTCTTCTTATCCTATTCCTTCTCCAATCCATTCTCCAATCCTTTCTCTCTCTAGTTCTTGGGTTCATCCTTATTCTTGAGTGTAGAGAGAGAGAGGGGTGTGAAGCAAATGAATGAGTGAGTGAGAGTGGGGGTGAAGTGGAGTGGCTTCAGCCGATGAAGGGTTCCAACTCGTGCTGACAAGTGGGTCCAAGCAATGCAAATGGAAAACAGCTCATTTTCCACTTACCTTCATTGTTCTGCAATCTGTCGGACGGTCCAGTAGCTCTAGCGGACTATCCGGTGGCTCCCTGTCTTTGCTTGATGGGTGCTCCAGATGCATGCACTGACAAGGGAGGCTGAGTTAGTTATGGATGCATGCTCCATTGACTATATACCTCCGGATGCATGCATGCACCAATGGGGCGCTCCGGATGCATCCCATTCCCATTACATAATCATTTAGGACTATAAACATGCAATTTCCTACAAGAAATATTATGGCATACAACATTTGACATGGAAATTTACATATTCCAACATGTCAGCATGGAGGCAGGATGGACATATATAGGCCATATATTAAGCACACTTTGACTCACCAAAGCATTCACCAACCATCGTGGAGGAGGAGGAGGAGAAGAAGAAGGAGAAGGAGGAGAAGGAGAAGGAGAAGGAGAAGGAGAAGGAGGAGAAAGAGGAGGAGGAGGAGGAGGAGGAGGAGGAGGAGGAGGAGGAGAAGAGCTAAACTATATCCAAGCTACAGCCTAGGAGCCATCAAGGAGGAGGCCCACGAGGGTCGAAGTGGTCGATCAACGTGAAGACCAAGGCAAGCCAAGAACATCCAAGATAGGCGTATCTGGACGGTAGTTATGATCTATCTGTTGTGCATTCCATGTAACAAACTAGGAATCCAATCTGTTAGCCCAATCGCCCTCATTGTAACCCTACCACCAATGCCTATATAAAAGAGGGTAGGGACCTCGTGATCGGGATCCAACTCATCTCATTCCAATCTACTAAGTAGCTAGAAACATCAGCCCCTGTATAAGCATACGAATACAAGAAGAGTAGCATCACCACAGTTCTAGGGTTTTACGCGCACCACGGCCTGAACCAGTATAAATCATTGTGTCTCATATGCTACCATCTGATTCCATCTACGCGATCACTAGGCATTGACAGAGCTAATTCATCTGACAACTATGCACTTACCAACTATATATTATTACGATATACGTGTGGATGAGGATCGGAGTCGTCTAAACAGCATGCGTGGCTAGACACTCCTGTCTCTGAAAACTAACTTGCATTGGTTGAGCATCTATTTATCGATCTATCTAGCCAGATTGAGCATCTGGTCTCTGGTCATCCATGCATGTTTTGGGGTACATGTGTATCGATGCATGTGAACCACGAGCCAGTCAAGAATATATTCGTGGACAGGTTGGTCTTATATCTAATTAACTCCATAGTTATGGCATGCATGCATGGGTTCTTTTTCCTGTCTTTGGTTTGTTTTCTTCTTTTTTTGAACATTTGGTTTGTTTTCTTTGTGCATATATACTCATCACTCTTTCTTAGCGTAAACAGTGTATGAAAGGTATATATGCATACATTGTATATATGTGAGCAAAATGAGAGAGGAGGAGGTGGATCGCTGGTGCCAGGTGGGGTACGGTCACCTCGCCGCGTTGTGGGCAGCCGCTGCATCCTAATGGCGGGCTGCGTTCTGTATCATCACAAAAAGTGTTATGTAATAGTTTCTTAGTAGCGCAGGTGGGCACTTTTGGCTCCTAAAAGGCTAGCGCTCCAAGGCTATGGTGTGCTGCTCGCATTCTTGGCCAAGCAGGGCTAATTGTTAGTCAAAGGTAACAAATTTTGAATTTCGAAATACGTGCATGTCTTATATTCGGGGACGGAGGGAGCAACTTAAAAAACATAAGGTTCTTGATGAGGGAAATTACATATAGTGAGTGGAAACTGGAAAAATATGAGTTGGGTGATGGAAGTGCCATCAGTACGTGATCGAGCCCCATCCATAGTCAACTCCAACGACTGCGACGTCGTGTGCCGATATATATCGTGTTATGAGTGCCACTGTGCAGCGTCGTAGCGACGGTGCATCAGTGTCATCAGTAACGAGCGAGCCTGTCGTGTATACCTTTGTGATGAAGTACGCGAGCAAATTCGCAGTTATTTGAATGTATGCAGAATATTCCATTCCACTGGAACTGCAAGTGTGTTCCCATAGTTAATCCCGTCCACCCCCCTTGTCTGAATCTAGCTAGGTGCTGGGATGGCGTGCGTGCGTGCGACCTTTCATTCAAGTCGATCGATATCACCACGTACTGTGTCTGTATGGTGCGACTTGAGGCGCCGTAACTGCTGTTGCCTCCTTGCAGGATTCAGAGGCAGGCTCCACTCCAGTAGTGCAAGTTTGACAAGCCGTTGGTACTTGCAAGTTGCAAACATATGCATATGCATGTGGACATGGACGACGACGACCACGGCAGCAACACCGCAATTAATATAGTCAAGGATGAAGGATGGCAGCTGCTAAGGATGGAAAATGGAAATAGATATCCAAATTATCTGATATCCTTATCCGCTAAAACTTGTAATATGAATATCCATATTCGTATCTGTTTATAATGTGGTAACTAAATGGATATATCCGAATTCGTTGCAGGATTCAGAGGCAGGCTCCACTCTTGTAGTGCAAGTCGGACAAGCCGTTGGTACTTGCAAGTTGCAATTAAAGATATATGGTGCGCCGAATCAGCGGCCTCCCAGAGTGTCCACGTACGTTCTATTTAGTTGGTGCGTTAGATAGAAATTCCACGGCTCACATGAAGCGCGTCACAAGCCAGGCTTCCTCCATGCATTCGGTAGTGGATAGAGAAAGCAGGTGGACGCATTCAATGAAGTAGGGCTTCCCTGGTGATTGTACGCAGCACGCAAATGGACGGTGACGCGTAGCAGGGGACGGTGGATTCTCGGCATGCATGGCCGGTGCCTAACATGGTGGTCGGCACGCATGCGAGTACGCGTGCGCTGCTGGGGCCTTGCATGCTTTTGTATGCTTGCTGGTACATGCATCTGTGAGCGGCGGGTAAAGTTTTCCCCCTTTGTCTCCTTCCTCCTCTCTCTCTCTCTGCTCTCGACCTCCTCTCTCTCTCCACGCGGTGGCGCATCCAGGCGGATAGGAAGAGGCGGCAGCGCACCGGCCGGCCAATGGCGCGGGCGGCCCATCGGTGCCCCTCTCTCTTCCTCTCCCTCTCCCTCTCTCCAGATCTATGGCCGCATCGGTCGGCCTCCAGCGCCCCTTCCTCTTGCTTCCCTCCCTCGCAATCTCACGGAGGAGCGAGTTCATAGCAGATCTCTCGAGGTGGCGGGGGAGGAGGAGAGGAAGCGGGTGCTGGTGGTGGGCGGCAGCGGCTACCTGGGCCAGCACCTCCTGGCAGCGTCCTCCGCCGCCGACCACCTCAACGTCGCTTTCACCCACCACAGCCCCGCCCCGCCGCAGCTGCTCCTCGATGCTCTCCCCTCCGTCTGCGCCGACCTCCACTCTGGAGACGGCCTCGAGGCGATCTCCGCGTCCTTCGGCCAGGTACAATACGCGTCTGCATTTCCCACCGCGGGCAACTCTCTGCTTCATACGAACTTCTGCTCTCACTGATTCGGTGATTAACTGATTGGCGATTACTTGGCTGGACGTTACATGAATCACGAGATCACTACTACGTTTCTCCGATAACAGAGCATACTAACCTGTACCTATTATGTTCAGCCACACGTAGTTGTCAACTGTGCTGCGCTGTCAGTTCCTCGGGCATGTGAAATGGATCCACCTGCTGCTCTGGCTACCAATGTGCCTTCTTCACTTGTGAATTGGTTGCTGAGTTTTGGGAATGATGACTCACTTTTGATTCATCTGTCAACTGATCAAGGTACAGCACTCACAATCCTTGGTGCCATACTCTGTTACTCAGACATTTTTATTTGTGGTGCATACTGCATGTATGTTCATCCTAAACTCAAGTGTACAATGAAATATGCCTCTCTTCTGACAGTTTATGAGGGGGTGAAATCCTTCTACAAAGAAGAGGACGAGACAGTGCCGGTGAACATGTATGGAAAATCTAAAGTTGCTGCAGTGAAACTCATTGTTGAGAAATGCTCAAACTACGCGATCTTGAGAAGCAGCATTATCTATGGGCCACAAACAATCTCTCTTGTGGCAAAATCCCTTCCCGTTCAGGTAAAATGCACTGCTCAGCACTCATAAATAGTGTTATGTTCTTCTTCCCAACTATAAGTAAGTAGAGTCGTGTTGCTAATGTTTCAGAATTGAAACTGATTCTACAGGACTAGAGAAGTGTCTAACTAAGAAAAGTACTTGCCATTTGGATGCAGTGGATGGATGGTTTTCTTTCACAAGGCCAGCAGGTTGAGTTCTTCAATGATGAATTCCGGTGCCCTGCCTATGTCAAAGATATGGTGGACGTAATTTTGTCATTGACAAAAACTTGGTTATCAGGTATGAGTTTGACTTGTGCATTTGTGGAACTCAATCAGTAGCAATAAATTTTCTTGTGTTCACTCTATAAACAATTTTAACATGTTCCAGTTCATATATTATAACGCTTCAATATTAGTGTTTTCCTATTAGCAATTGTTTTCCATTGTGCCATGGTGACTGACATCAAAGTGCATGCTGCAGATGGCAAAAAAGTCCAGGTCCTCCTGAATGTTGGTGGTCCAGATAGGGTATCAAGACTGTAGATGGCTGAGTCTGTTGTTGTTGTTGGTGGATATAACCCCAGTATAATCAAATTTGTGTCTGCATCATCGATATTATCTTTCCTCTAGAATGTAGCATTGAAGCATCCATATGATATCTGCCTATTTAGTGTTAACACGAGTACTATTAGAACACATTTATTCAACAAGCATGATGTTTTAGATACAAGTTGGTCTTAACTTTACAACTGAGATAGTATCCAACATTGAGCATTGAGGTCCCTTTAAACATTTTGCTTCCATATGCTTATTTTTCCATCATAATATCTTGTAAAGCCCGCATCTACCTATTGCCCAGGTTAATCGAGGGGTAGCTTCTCCACCAGACATATCCATGGACATCACCAAGCTAACCTAGATTCTTGGTATCAAGCCAATCTCATTTCAAGATGGAGTCAGAAGTACACTTGATGCAGAAGCCAGTACATGACACTTCCTCAACAGTTTGCTTGAGTTCCTAGAGAGTTGCTTGCATTCAAATATGAAAGTGTGACATAGAAAATCACATTTAATTTGTGAAATTTCAGTAACGGTAAATTTCTGTTGGATATATGTGAAATATGTAACTTTGTACCTACTAAACACTAATGGCATCATCGGTGTTACTGCCTGGTTGTACTGTACCATTATGAATAAAAATGACATTCATTTTAAATCATTTTCCCCAGAAGTATGTAACTGTATTGTACACGTATCCTACAATTTACAACTAATGTTACCCTCATGTATTTTTTTTAGAGTTTTAAGGCTTTGCCCGTCTTAGTATTAAACAAAGACAATAGCATTCAATTACAGCATTCAGGTGGATCTACCCTCATGTATTTTGTTTGTTTGGTATTTTCAGATTTGTTGCTAACTAATATTTGGCTTTAATTTCTAACCCTACCTTGGTGAGCTAGTATTCTATATAGCGCATAACCCTATATTGGATTGAATAGAAGTGCTGGCTTTGCTACTGCATTACTCTTTCTTTTCCTTTTAATGAAATGATACGCAGCTCTCCTGCGTGTTCAAGAAAGAAATATATGCTCCACCATATAAATTGAAAGTTGTATAAATTTAAGTGTAAATTTGGAAGGTGTATAAGTTCTTTGTAGTCCTAATTGAACATATAACTCTGTTCTATCCAAATGGGTTCATAATTTAGAACTTCTCACTGTCTGACAAAAAGTACGAAAATAAGCATCACAAAAACCACTGAATAATTGGCAGACTCAAGTGGGTTACCAAAACCTTTTGTTTTATACTTTTTTTTTTACTATTTAGCTTGGATAAAAATTGTTACAAAAAAGGTTAATACAGATAAGTGATAGGCATGCCTAGGTTTGAGACGGCCAATAGGACATCAGTATAAGTATTTGTCACTTTTACAGGAATCTCAGAGCTATCTTGTGACAAATTCAAGGAATTGTGTATTGTGTAAATATCAGAGACATAAGCACAAAAGAAAATATTAAAATAATAATTCTAAAACAATGATAAGATTGCATAGGATACACATACAGGCTACCAGGTATTATTGGGTGGCGGTGCAGAAGAGACAGCGGCGTGACGCTGAGAGGACGGCACCAGTGTGCGGGAAAAGGAGCGCGGGTGAGTGGCCACTGGCGGTGCGTGCGGCTTTAATGTGCATGCGATCGGCTGTGCGCTTTGATGGTTGCATGGGTGGGAGTAGATGTAGCTAACTCGGGCGCACCCAAGCAACCGGGAAGTGGAGGCGGCGTGGAAGGGAAACACTGGCGGGTCACGAGGTGGGGAGAGCATCGGCCATGGTGTGCTCCCTGCGCGAGCTTGAGTGGAGGGAGGAAAAAGGAGGGGAGAGGGGTTCGCTCAACGAGGAGGCGTGCGAGCGGCCGTGCCCCAAAAGAAGAAAAAGGAGGGGTCCGGTACGGGGATGAGGGCGAGAGTCGAGAGCCGACAGGGTGCAGGAAATGGAGAGAAAATGAACTATGCGAGTGAACAAGGTGAGAGCGGCATAGCCAAACGAGAGCTGAACGCAAGTGGGTCCCTGTATCGACAGCGTCCGCAGGTGTTGATGTGTGCGTAGCGCGGTCAAACCGGACACTGGGATTGGGACATGGCGTCAATTTAAGCGTTTCAATCACTCCAGACTACTTGAATAATAACTTTTCTGCACTCGTCGTCCTCGTGCACTGTGTGCTTCTCCTTTTCTCCGCCTCTAGTCCGCTCTTGATCCTCGCCCTCATCCCCGTACCGGACCCCCTCCCTTCTTTCTTCTTTTGGGGACACGGCCGCCCGCATGCCTCCCTCATCGAGCAAACCCTCTCTCCTCTCCTTTATTCTCCCCCTCCGCTCACTTGCACAGGGAGTGAGCCATGCCCTACTGTATCCCCACAGCGTGAACCGACAGTGTATCCCATCCATGTCGTCTCCACTTCTGGTGCGCTGAGCCCCATCTCCGTTCGCCACTATAAGATGCCCTTGATCCTTGCTCTTTTTCTTCATCCCCATCCCTCTTGAATCCAAAGCAGAGCTACGAGATCCAGTCGTCATTGTGGAACTAGGTTCGTCTGACAGAGGGGATGGTGTAATCTGAGAACGGATCTGGTTTTTGAAGAAGTTCAAGTCTACTGTTGGTTAGTTTGGTCTTAGGGTTCACGATGTTTGACTTCTCAGTCTCCTGTTTTTTGATCTGTTGGTCATACGCTATGTTTTGGATAATCATTATCTTGTTGTTTCTCCATTGCCCTTGTCTATCCCGACTTCTGGAGTAAGCCTTGGTTGTACTAGGTTGCTCTTAATCATGTAACTTTAAATCCCGGTGTAATTTAGTGTTAGACGCCATGTAATCTTTCGTGTAATTCCAGATTTACAAAATGTGTTGTAGCTTCATCTAAGGGGAGTGGATCCTAATTCACTCTTTTGTAAATCATCACGTTGACGTACTTGTGTTGTAGTTTTTGCTCTTTCCCCCTATAATATTGTGCTTTGAATCTAAGTGTGTTAGCTGCTTGAGCCCAACTCCATCAAATACTTGTTTCCACCAACAAGTCGTTGGTTTGCTGGCCTAGAATAGGCACCATGTAATGACAACCAACCTCTATATTCGTTTACAACATTATAACGAAAAAGGTATGTTACCTTTCATTCCCAAATTTTCTCATTTAATGTACCAAATAGATCAACCATTCCTAGCAACGCGATGAAAAACATATTAGATATATGAACCATATTTCCTAAGATTTTTCCTATACCAAGCACATCACCCGTAGCGAAGTGCGGGCAACCGTGGCTAGTTAATAATATAGTCAAGGATGAAGGATGGCAGCTGCTGTGGCCGGCATGTCGTGGGACGGCTTCCTTGTAATGTAATTATATTTAACCGTCACGGAACCAAATCCCTAGCTCTCCAAATTAATAACTTAAATGACCACCAGCTAACCAACATTATACGTACCTGCAAGTTATGCCCAATTTTTTACAATTTGACATTTTTCTTAAGAAAATTTACATTTGGCCCCTTGGGAGACGTAACCTCATCTTTGGACCCTGAGGGTCGGCGCTAGGACTCATGGCCGCCGAGGTAACACGTCTCGGCGCCACAGATCTTGGCTCCGAGGGGCCTTGCCGTGCACAGCAGACACCCTAGGTGGCGTTGACGTGGCCGGTACCTCGGTGCCAGATTACATGGCACCGAGCTCGGAGCCACAGATCTTGGCGTCGAGCTCGGCGCCATAGATCTTGACATCGACCTGGCACGCACCCGCACGACGGGATGGGTGCGGGAGACACGGCCGTGAGGCGGACTGCAGACTATGGCGTGCGGCTGCTGCTTGCGCCCCGTCCTGAAGAAAAATGACATTGCCTGTGAATCGGCCTCCTAAAGAAGGCTGGGTCCGAGCGAAAAGCAGCAGCTGCATGCCGCACGCTGAGGCGCGAGAAAGAGTCAAACAGAAAAGAAAAGAAAGAGCCCTCGTGAGACGACGGATATACCGCCATAATAAAAATTACATTTAATACATAATCTTCCTCAAACAATTGCTTGCAGAATAGGAAAAGCGAAAGTACCTGGAAGTACCGAAGTACTTTCCCAACCATTGTAGCACCTGCAAAAGTGCAACGTCGTATTTATATATTAATTAATGCAAACAAATTAATATAAAATATAAAGTCCAAAAAATAAAATTGTTTACTAACATGCCCAAAAATAAAAATATCAAGCACCTGTCCAGCAATATATATTTACATGAGGAGTGATAAAAATGGTTTGAGTATACCCACCGTTAATCACCGGTTCAAGGTGTCTTTATAAACAATATTCTTAGTGCTCTTCCCTCTAGAATCCTATTCTTCTTTTGGTTTAGCCAAAATTCCTGTTGTTGATATTGATACCCCCTTGATAAACCAACATAAAAGTTGTCCATGCGAGAACATGGGTTTTGGAAGATAGATCCCAACATTAGGGATGGTTTGTCCCTGCGATTTATTTATGGTCATGGCAAAACTTAACCGTACTCAGAATTGTTTTCTCTTGAACTTGAAAGGAAGAGAAATATCATCTGAGGGAGACAGCGGGGGCCTTGGTATGAAAACCCTTTTTTGTGCATGTTGTACACCAACGATCTCGGCATCAATTGCATTGTTTTGCAATGCTATGAATATAAGCCTTGTTTCGTTGCACACTCAGTTGTTAGGATAAAGATTGCGGAGAAGAATCACATGACAGTTGATTTTTAGCTTCAACTCGTGCGGGGGAGGCCATTTGGAGTTATCGAGTTCAAAAAATCAATAGAGAAGTGATTCTGAGGATCATCAGGAACTGTGCCGATGTTGTGGTAAACCTTTTCCTCACCTGAAAACCTATCAATCATCACTGTGTTCAGCCTATCAACATGTTCATTTTTGGTCGATAGAATGGCACGGGAGCTCATATAGGTGGCTGATATTGCATGTTCTTCAAGTGATGGGAAAACATCTTGAATGAGTTTGTTGACTGTCACCTCCGTATCAGTATAACCAAT